GCCAACTTTCCAATGTGCCGGGGGGTGCTCACTGCTCAACCCCTGGCTCTGCCACAGGCCCTGCCCCCTCCCCTGAGCCTGCAGTGTCCTCACTCCTCCCCTTCCCCCCAGAGCCTCCTGCACGCCACGAAACAGCTGATCAGGAGGTGCGGGGATGGGGAGGTGCTGATTGGCAGGGCTGCCGGTGGGTGGGAGGCGCTGGGAACGTGGTGGGGGAGCAGATGGGGGACTGCTGATGTATTACGGTGACTCTTTGGCAATGTACATTGGTAAATTCTGGCTCCTTCTCAGGCTCAGGTTGGCCACCCCTGCTATAAAGAATTACAGTATCAATCTAAACCGGCATGTAAGGTAAAGCTCACCCTTGGGCAGCTTAAATTTACACTCTCAGCAAGGGACTTACTCACCCCTTAACAGCAAGAACCATAACACCATGCTTACTGTATGTACATGCGCACAATCCCAGGAATCAACGAATGTTAGTGCTATATTTATTATCAAATCCAGTTGCTTTTGCAATTAACCCAATATGACATCTGCATGGAAGACTTAAATTAAGGAGCATCACATTACACAGAGTAAATCAATAAAGTGAAAATGCAGGCGCTGACAACACTTACAATTTGGCCTGTTATTACGACATCCCATTTCTTTGAATTGAAGTTATTTATACTTCCACTGAATCACGGCTGATATTCAAGTACTGCTAAAGGCCATGATGTACAAAAAACATACCATTTAAACCAGAAATGACTTGTGTACACCACAGCCAGTTACAGCTATCGGAGAGACCTTAAAAGGTATTTTCTCCTTCAAGAGCATGTCTGGCAGTCTAGTACACATCGGTGGATCCTTCTCCTTTAAGGCAAAGAAGGACCTACCCATGTGTTCTAGAATGATGATCCTGAGCAGAGAAAATTACAGACTAAAAGATAAATTTCACAGTATTGGCTAAATATAAGATGTGCCAATTATAACATCTTCTGATTTTTATAAAATAAAAACTGGGTTTAGCTTTGTTTTTCTCAAGAAAAGTGAATGAGCTGATGAAGATAATGAGATTTATAGAAACTGAAAGTTAGTTCAAATTTGAAATAGTAAGAAACAGAGCCTCTTTATTATTTAAAATAATAAAAACCCAACATATAATTGGTTATCCCAGATAGAATCAGTATGAGCCACATCACTATCCTTCCAGACAATAAGACAGCCATAATATTGGCTTTTATAGTGGGCATTACATTGGCTGTACATGAATAAGTTGGTGTTTTAGAAATCTGAATGAAAGGGAAAAAGTCTCTTACTTCTAACAGCTAGAGACCTGTTTGATAATCTGCCTTCTTTAAACTTATTTGAAGTATGGCCCAAAATGTAGGTTCTGCATCAAATAAGTCATTACAGAACCTAAATATAATAGAAATGCTTCCATTCTAATGGAAACAATTTTTGTTAAGAAATAAATCGTCCCCTGTAGTGTCTATAAAACAGATTCTGCAGATTATGCTATTGCATGAGAATCCGAGCAGGATATAGATTAGAAATAAGTGAAACTCACTAATGTCTTTTTATAGTCCAACCCAAGAGAAACTCAAAATAGAGATATGGCCCATCCCTCACAGTTTGGGAATTGTGGGAAATACATACACACAGTGTTTGATATATTCTGCTGTGAGTCTAAGTTATTAGAACCTTCAGATTTAACATTTGGTTAATGATTTAGTCCCTGATCTTGCACCACTGAAGTTAATGGAAGTTTTGTCATTGGCTTCAATAGGTACAGGATGAGGCCTTAAGAAGCTTTATACCCCCCCACCCTTCTGCAAGATCACTTTCGTCCAAGATGTTTTAGTTGTACTGCTGTGTGTGCTTTATCTCATATACTATTTCTCATAATCACTTATGAAATCTTAAATAATGTTAAAACGTACAAATAAAATTTCAGATCCACATCTGGACTTTTCCAAAACTGGAGAACAGAACTGGAGACTTTGGTTTGGCTTATTAATGAGTGAGGGTTCAGCAACCAAAGAGGCTGAATCGGTATGAAAACCTCCCAACGTTCTTCGGTGTTCAGGTATGGAGTTTTGGGTCAAGCCTACAACTTCAGTAAAAAGGTAAATAGGCACCCTAAAGAGTGAAAAGTACATTACATCTTAACAAATTCCTTCAATGTTAACACGGTGTTATTTGTAAAGACATTTATTTAATATTATGACCCTTTAACATGACAGAATTCCTTTTAAGTACAAATAAAATGAACTCCAGCCCCCTCTTTTTTGGGCTTTGGTTTTTTATCTGCAGAGCTCAAGCTCTTATAAAAAAAAGCAAAATATTTAAAAGCAACCTCCCCTTTTTAAGCATAGCGGTTCTTATCCATGCTAAGGGCAAATCCTCGTTTAACACTGGGTTAGTTAACATGTTTTCTAACACAATACTTTATCCCAGTGTGGACAAAGTCTCTGAAAAGTAGGGCTGCAGTAGGAGAGCTCTGAAATGGAACAGAATTCCTGAAAAACTCACAGGACCCAAACGTTGCATCTTTGGAAATTGCTGCTATGGCAGCAAGGGAGTGAACTCCTACCATAAAACAAGCTGACCTGTTAAAAAGAAGAAATTGCAAACAGCTAAACAAGGAGGTGCAAGAGAGTGGGAAATATGAATGCAATGGCAGAGAGCTCCAGGTGGTCAACAGACAGATGCTTCAAACTGCTTATGTCAGCAGTGCAAGCCTACAATATAAGAACATCCTCCCTCTCCATCGCTACCAAATGCTGAAAGATGGGGAGTAGGGGGGGGGAAATCTTTGCTCTGGCTGTGACAGCAAGACTGAGGAGACAGCATTATAAGGAATGGACATGCTCGCATGGTAAAAATAGGGAGAATTCATTCAAAAGAGATAGAATTGCAGATGGAAATATATAACAGGTTATACGATGATGACAGGGAACTAAGAATAAACACAGAATTTACCTGTTTAAACAGCCGTCTCCCCTTGCACACAGTGAGCAGAACAGCAGCAGCATATTCTGCATGGATGTCTCTGAGAAACACAGAGGTCAAAAAGTTCCTGGAGATCTCCCCTACAGCAAACAGTTGAAAGGGCTGAAGCCTATTGCAAATAGCAAGGGAAAATGGGGTCTCTCCTTTACAACACATTCTTCTATCAAAACACTGGCCTGTAAATATTGTAAAATATGTTTTGCATAAATGCAATAATTTGGATAAAATACCAGTACATATAATTTAGCAACAAAATGACTATATGGAAGCACAAAAAGGTCAAAACCACGTCTACATTATGCAAAAAAGGGGCAGGGAGCTGCTGCAGGGAAGAGTAATTTAGTAAAGACAGTCATAACCTTCCTTATATTATTTAGGACATAGTTGTAGTTTGGTTAGCCCTAAAAATACATCAGTTGCATCTTTATAGGGAGCAAAACAAGGACTTCTTTAAATTGTGCAAGTCTGTTTGTGCCCATCTCCTCTGCAATATTGCCAACCCCATCATGAGTCAGGCATCAAAAAAAGAGATTTAAAAAAATCATAATACATTTGGGGTTCTTTTTAATTTCTGAGCCATAGATTACACTTGTCATATTTTCAAGTTTTTTCCTGCAACCATGAGATCTAGAAACATACTTTTTTCTTTTAAATGAAAGCTGAGATACTCACATAATAATCACTTTACTCCAGGAGCTGAGGCTTGAAAAAAAACACAAAATCCAAATCACCAAATATGACGAGAATCACAATAAAATCATGAGAGGTGGCAACACTGCTTATGAAAATTAGGACAAATAAAGTTTCTTTATAATTAGTAAAATTCATCCTTGCCTAAATCACTGACACACGTGATCCAAGATGAACCACACGTTAGCTGTGAAAAATACTAAAACAGCCGGCAAGGCATATACTTGTCAATTCATGTAGGAAATGTTGCACAACTGAAGGCATGTGTGCAGAAGCAACTGAAAGGCTCAGGTGAGTGGTAATATAGGTGAAGGTTCCATATCCTATGTTTCTAATTCAGATCCAGCATAGGGTAGTAGTGACTGAAACTGGCTACCACCTCAAGCCCATTTGCTAACTTATGGTGAAATCAGGCAGACCACTCAACACTGCAGAGACATATATATATATATATGCTTAACTTTGTTAAGCATGTGCCCAAGTCTTTGCAGGATCATGGCTGTAGTAGTTTAGCTCCAGTTTCCTGTAGACAAAGTCCATGTCACAAAACTCAATGGCATTAACTGGAAGGCTTGTTTGCATTCTACATAAGGAATCCAGGGCTTAAAAGGGCAAACTCTGAACTAACCTTCATTCCTGGAGGAAATTCCTCCAGGTAATGTCTGAACATGAGGCAGAGTGGCAAGACAGTGGGATTGCTTGCACTACTAACTGCCATGCTGTATCTGTTCCGGGGATCAGTACAGACTTCTGTCTCCAGAGTTGTCAGGCCGGTACCTCTTACAAGCACGAAAGGTCTGATCCTGAGAAATGCTGAGTGATCTTATTTGAAGTCAGTGGAAGTTCAAATCTTTTATACCATTTGTAAAAAGACATGGTTCATGGTATCCAAATCGGAATGTCTGTGTTCTCTCTCTCTAGAGAGATATGTATCATTTTTGGAATTTACATTGCATCTTTCAGCGAAGGGTCTTAAAGCAATTTGAGCAGGTGGGTAAAATGATCGCAGCTTTACAGATGGGGTAGCTGGGAAACAGAGGGATGATATGACTTGCCCAAAGTCACACAGCCAGTCAGTCAGTGACATAGTGGGAATAGAACGCACCTATTCTGGTCCTGTGCTCTCACTGTTAGACAGCACTGCCTTTCCTACCATTAGATGTCTTTTAACAAGTGCAGTATATATGGATAAAGACAGACCATCTGACTGTGTTTAAAACCAAACGTTTAAGAGGGTTTAGCACCATTTTTGGTATGCTCAGAGCATCCTTGGCAAGGGGGAAGGCCAGTGAACACAGAGCTGTCAATTACTTTACCTTCAGCAGGCAGAGGGAGTGTGATCCCAGCTCGGGTGCAGAAGCAATTCTGAGTATGAAGGAATTAACAGGAAAAGTCCCTGGCTCTGAGTAAGTGCTCACTTCTTGAATCTGGTGTGGGTTTGCAGTGGGAGGCACAATTTGTTACCGATTTTAACCTACTTGGGTTCGTTTTCTTTTTAAAAACTAAGCTCTCCTCTTACCCGCCTCTCCTTAAAGTCAGTGAAAAAGTTTAAGGTAAGGGAGTAATTTCCCCACTTCACTCCCAGAGAACAGAGCAGCCCAGTCCTGCACTCCGTGTGCCAGCGCTATCCAGCCCGGGCTTTGCGCATTGCCGGGCTGCTCCTCCAGTTCAATCTATTTCTCTGCTGCAGCCCGGAGAGTGAGTGAGGCAGAATCGCACGCAATCACAGGATCAGTGGATCCTTACACCATTAACTCACATGCACAGACCAAGCGAGCTAGGAGGACTCAGCACCCACTCATCCCCTCCCCTCCAAAAAGTCCAGAGCGCTCCCCCAGACCCAATGCATCTCAAAAACATTCCTGGCAGTCAAAAGGGGAAGGAGGACACCCTGTGGGAGCTGGAAAACAGGGACTATTTTCTCTTACTGTGTCCTCTCCTAGCCTGGTGTAATGAACAACATTCCTAGGTTGAAGCCTTCTCTCTGCTCTGTGCCTATTAGCTGTTCCAGCTCCCTCCCTCTGCTGCTTGTTTTCCGCCCTAATAAAGATCATAGAGAAAATAAGCATTTAAAAACCCTTGCAAAGTGACCAGGAGTTGATCAAGTTAAGTGTTTAAGCCCCAAGATTTGCAACGATGCATATTTCGCACTGTTAACATTATTGTTTCCCCTTCAAAGTGCCAAGAGGCAGGGGGTGGGGATCTGCCTGCAATTGCTCCACATGCATCAATAGTTGTCAGTAAAATCAAACTGACGTCATCCTTGGGTAAAAAGATCTGTCTCTTTTGTTCTCGTTCCCCCCCCTTCAACTCCCCCCTCCCCGTTGCAAATCAAAAGCAAGAACATTTGCAAAAAATAAAAATAAAACAATAAGAACCCCCCCACACACACACACACGCACACTTTAATTGCAAATGCAAAAGGAGAGGCGGCATTAAAGATCCTGCCTAGGCTGTGCTAAATTTTAATGAATGCATCAAGCCTTTTGATCTCTCTGAGTCAGTTGGGTTCAGTTGTGCCGGAAGGTTAGTTGCATATCCTGGCTGATCTGAAATTCGATCGGCAGAGGGGGCAAAGAAAAAGAAAAGCATTTTAATGGGAATCAATAGAGGATCATAGGGTCCTGGAAGTAAATACGTGTTGATTAAAAATGCTATGTGATTTTTTTTATGTGCACGCCTTGTTTAAAAAACAAAAAGCACCAAAAGCAAGTACCCCGCAAAACAGAAAAAGAAGAGAGAGAGAGAGAAGGCTGAGAAAACGGCTTTCCAAATCACTCTCTGTGGGCTTGGGTTTCAGAGATAGGGAGGCAGTCAGCAGACCAAGAGTTTGTGCAACGCTTCAAGCTACAGCGCGCAAATTTAAAGCAGTCGGCTCCAAACGACATCATAAATCCTTATTGCAAATGCATTTCTACTTCTACCCTGTTTACTCGTGCATTATTAAAACAAAACAAAAGAAAAAACAACAACAACAACAAAACCCGACAATTTGTTCCCTATCCCTCACCTCCCAAGCCACAGGAGACCATAATAACTGACACAGGGGGGAAGCTGTGTGTTTTGTTCCACTCACAAGTTTTCACAGTTAAACTTTCTGAACATTATTTTTGCCGCTATTCAGGAAATATTGAGCTGAATGGTTCTATAGAAATTGCCTGACTTTGTATGAAAAAGCAGCAATTAAAATTATACTTAACAAATGTTTAGAAAGAACTAAGTCACCTGATACTCAGACTTGATTCACCTGCCTATTCATTAAAATAAAAACGAACCCCTAATTATATTTTGTGTTGCTTTATAAGGGCCGGTGTGCACGCGCACACACACACACACACACATCTGACCGCAGTGGAAAATAACAGTGGAAAAAATTGTTGTCCAGAAGGTTGAAAAGTGACTTGTAGTGGGATATAACGTCTGAAGTCACAGAGAGAGGGCATTGTTGCCCCAAAGGTCACATTTTAATCCCAAAGGAAAGTTTTCCTGTATGCTAAAAATACTTACCTAGATGTATAAGCTTTGCTATCTTTTTCTCCTGTAGTTCTACTTACCCTCTTCTAAGACTTCTCTAGTTTAACTCAGAAAATGGTTCTTAATTATTTGTATTACATTAGTGTCTACAACCCCTTGTACTAGCATGTTTGTAATACACACACATGAAAAGACAGTGTTACAACTAAATAGATAAGACAGAGGGTAGGAGGGGAGACAGAGGCAAAGATAGAATGTGACTTGTCCAAGGTCACACAGCAGCAGTTCAGTCGTCTCCTGGGTCAGTGCCTCATCCACTAGGCCACACTGCTTCACTTAGTGTTTTTTGAGTATCCCTGTCAAGGGCCCAACGGCAGTAATTGTGACATCCATCCTGGATAAATATAGCAGAACATTTCCCTCAAACTTTACAGTTTTTGCCAATCCATTTAATCATTCATTCTTATCAAGAACATTATCAGGCGTAGGTGCTGGAACTAGGGGTGCCGCAGCACCCCCTGGCTTGAAGTGGTTTCCATCACACACAGAGTTTACAGTTGGGTTCAATGGCTCTCAGCACTCCCACTATACAAATTGTTCCAGCACCCCTGTTTTCAGGCATATCTCTTGGTGTACCCAGTGGTGATTACAAACATTAGTTTTTATTTTTAATTTCTTTCCATTTCTCTTAAGTATTTATTGACTAGATTTAAAGACCACATATTGCTGTAGAGGCAGCATTTTCCCCCACTCTGTTTTGTTAAACCCCTCCCCGCCCACTCACAATGGTTATCCGTACATCAGTTAATCTTTATTTTATGGTGCTCTTTGGAGAGAATTTGTGACAGGAAGGACATTCTTAGGTAGCAGAGCAGGCAATAGTTGAGGGTAACAGTAATTTAATTATACAAAGGAAGGGGGAACTACTAGATGTAATTCTTTTCTTTTAAAACGATGACTACAATAGTAATAAACTCTAATAAATTATTGCTGCTCTCTGCAGAACAAACTACAAGATGATATTGGATATAATGAGATGCCATTGTCACTTATTAACATACAAACATGGAAGACAATGGAAAGTCAACTATTTAAATAATTTTGTAACTTCCCTCCCATTTTAGTGCTCAAGAAAGGTACCAAATTAATATCCCTACAGAATGAAGGGCTTCATTTGTCTATAGAGAAGGTATAATCGAGGTATCTTTCCCACACTCTAGCTTTCTCCTCACTGTCTCAAACCATTTTTTGGAGAGACCACAATTAGGCCTTAATCCTGCAACCATTTACCCACTTGCTGAACTTAATACACTGCAAGTAATTCTATAGAAATCATTTGGACTACAGAAGTACATAAAGATAAGCCTGTAAGTCTTTATAGGGTCAGGGCAATAGCGGTAGAAGGCTACTGTGGTATGTCTACACTACAATTAAAAACCTGCAACTGGCCTGTGTCAGCTGACTCGGGCTCAGGCTAAGGGGCTGTTTATTTGCGGAGTAGATATTCAGGCTCAGGCTGGAGCCCAAGCTCTGGGCTGTCGCCCCCCCGCCCCTTTGCGGGGTCCTAGAGCCCAGCCCAAGCCTAAACATCTGTACCTCAATTAAACAACCTCTTAGCCCGAGCCCCTTTGCTGAAGTCAGCTGGCATGGGCCACCCATGAAGGGCTTAAATTCTCAAAGATTATTTCCCGGAGTCCCCCCACTCCCATTCAGGGCTCCGGGCTTTAGCCACGCAAGAGAGGGAGGGAGGCACTGGGGCTCAGGGCTTCCGTTCCGGTGCACACTGTGAGGATGAAGCCCCTAGGCCCCGACGCCTCTCACAGGACTGAAGCCCTGAGTCACGAACTCATGCGCCTCCTGCGGGTTTGAAAATATTTACTGGAACTCTGCTCCGGTGGGCTCTGGCTGAATTTAAGCCCTAGATTCACAGGTCTTTAATTATAAGTATAGCTGTACCCTGAGTCTCAATTTAGTCCTGGGGTATCTGCTCCCAAGGTTGCTAATTATAGTGGTTAGTATTTTATTTTTTATATGGAGATCTACTAGGAACAGGAATGAGACACCGACTCATTTCACACAGGCCAGCAAATCACCTCAGGGGGTAACTACTTTTAGTTATTCCCAACCTGGACTAGAGTATCTGGAAGTGAAAGGTGCTACAGGCCTGTAACAATGCCTTAGGCCTGTAACAATGCCTCAAAGCCGGTCCGCTGCTTGTTCAGGTAAAGCCCCTGGTGGACCAGGCCGGTTTGTTTACCTGCCGCGTCCACAGGTTCGGCCGATTGCAGCTCCCACTGGCTGCGGTTTGCCGCTCCAGGCCAATGGGGGCTGCGGGAAGGGCGGCCAGCACATTCCTCGGCCCACGCCGCTTCCCGAAGCCCCCATTGGCCTGAAGCAGTGAACCGCGGCCAGTAGGAGCCACGATCGGTCGAACCCGCAGACAGGTAAACAAACCGGCCCGGACCGCCAGGGGCTTTCCCGGAACAAGCGGCGGCCCGACTTTGAGAAGCACTGCCCTAGGCTATTCCGTATCCCAGTCTCCGCCATTGTTTTCAATCGAGATACCACAGGGATGTGCACAATCAGTGGAGAAATGGAAAAGAAAATTGACTACCGAGAGCACACCATCTGGGGCTGCTTGCTGCTTCCTGCCTCCTTCCTGAAGCCACTTCCCTTATTAGGGTTGTGGGAGTTTTTGAGCAGTAATCCAGCCTAATCACCCAATCCAAGCCTGTTTTACCATGGGCGCTACGCACATTTCATCAGCCCTTTCTGAGAATCTCTCCCTTTTCCTTTCATCGTTTTTTTTTTGCCTCAGCAAAACCCTATTGGTGGGGTTTCTTTTTCTGCTCATTTGAACATGAACAGGGTGACTGGAAGAAGAAGAGACCTCCAAAGACAGGGAGCAGGCCTGGGAACAGTGTCCCGCCCACATTGAGGCACCTTGCACTGTCTGCCAATGAGAACATTAGGGAGGGACACAGACAGAGGTGAGAGGCTGCAACCATTAGTCAGAAGGAGTAGGGAAGTGGGGCGGGACTGTTCCCACTAGCCCAGCCCATTGGAGTTCTGGTGTATTCGGGTCTCAGATTTACTCCTGCAACTGTATTTTGGTGAATGACTATTATTTGTATTATGGCAGTGCCCAGGGACCAATTAGAATGGGGCCCTAACGTGCTGGGCATCGTACAAACATAGCATAATAGACTGTCCTTGCACTGAAGAGCTTACAATCTACATAGATAAAATGGACAAAGGGCAGAAGAAAGAGACATACAAGCAGAGTGAACAGAGTGATGGCTTACAGATATTATGTTCTGTTACTGCTCCTGCAATGAGTGCAGCATAAATGCCTATGCAGTTAGATAACCCCCAAAGGCTGAAGAACAAATTAACAAAATGAGTTATGGCTGCCATAGAACCTTTAGCATGTTTCCTTTATTCCTTCATTGTTTCCAGTTATTGCAGTGCAGCAAGTGGGAGAACACCAGCTATTCTGAGACACCTGGGTTCGTGCACTATGCTGAGTGGAATGAGGTAAGAGCTCTGTGGCAACTGTAACTGAGAATGTCTTTACTTTTATTAGTTTGTGTCTTAACTTTTATTAAGTCCTTTGGCGCCTGAGGACATATATACATTCATTCGTCTCACAGTTTTGAAAATGCCAGCGTTCCAAAGGTTAATTATATTTTTTTTTACATATTTGTATATGTAATTTATTTTATACAACAGAACTGTTTTTGCAGTGGTTTTTGTATGACCACCATGTCATAACACTTTCCTGGGTTCAGTGACCTAAGACAGTGGGCGGTACATGCTTCTGAACATATTACAGAAAACTGATGTAAAAACACAGTATGCTAAAGGGTAACATCACAGGTGTTAAAGTGGTGTTTAGAACCCTCTCCTTCCCAAAATACAAAAAAATTACGTTTCTCTTGTGCTACAATGTCTTCCCTATTGAATGATAGAAGAAACATTCCAGATTCTGTGCTGCAAGTGCTCTCCTTTCCCAGAGGCTGGCTACATCCATGCGTGTAGAGCTTTTGATTAGATCTGCTGTTTTGCCTATGGCAATCTTCCCTGCAAACATCCTTTGTCTATACATCATTTGAGCATCTATACATGATAAGATTGCGACCTTTTTATTAAAGCAAAACAGTGGCTTTCTTCTCTATAAGCTTTTCTCCTTCCTCAGCTCTGTATCTGTCCCCAGGGGATGTGAGAAGGACAGGGAACTTTGAAAAACCTTTCACCCCTTTGTTCTCCTTGGAAGAATCTGGGAACAGTTTCTGTTTGTAAAGACCAAGGTAGACATTCATAAAAGGGGACCTTTTTCTGCGTTGAAGGTGGCCAAGTTGCTAAAAATGTATTGCAGTATGTTAATAAGGTAACTTTATTCCATAAAAGAAAACAAAAATATTTTGATATGTATTTTTTCTTAATTTATACACTGATTTATGTCTCCACCCTCCCATTACTTTCTGGCACCAACCACAATAGCATTTGCACACTGCAGTGCACTGAAGCAAGTAAGAGCTTTCTTTCCATTTCACTCTAAATGGAGTTTTACTATACTTGAGTTCACTATAAGCAAGTTCCATTGTATTCCCGTTAAATGAATAAAGATTTAAGAGTACTCAAAATGTGAAATCCAATAGAAGTGGCTTGTGTGAAAAAAGCAAATGAAAAACATACTTTCCTTACAGTAAACCAAATGCTTTTCACTAAAACACATCAGTTAAAAGAACATATTTTGGTGTGAAGGCAGGTCATGCATCTATTTTCTACCGGGTAGTGTGATTAGTAGAGACACATTCAATTAGTTAGTTTTTACTGTAGAACTGTACTTTACACATGGACTGTGGCATATATGATGTATAGTGCAGTCTCTTGCAAAATATGTTCCTATTTATGCTGATAGTAATAGAGAAAACCTACTACAGAACACTATATCAAGGCAGTCATAAGTTCACCAGAGTTAAAAATGGAAAAAACTTGTTAGATCATCTAGGCCACCCCCCTGCAAATGGACAATTGTTCTCTGCAGTACACCTTAATCCAGCCTTATTTAAATGTCTCAGGTGATGGGGTTTCTATCACTTCCATTTGAAGATTATTCCATAATCTAATGTTTCTGACAGTTAGGAAATTTTTCTGATATTCTGCCCAAATTTTCGTTTTCTTAATTTCATCCCCTTATTTCTAGCTCTACTACATTGAACAATGCTAAGAAATTCCTCTCTGTTCTCTCCATTCATCCTTCCTATATTTGTAGACAGTTATCATTTCCCCTTGATTAACTGTCACTTGCTTTTATAAATCAGTCCCTCCACTTGACTAATCAGTTTTGTTGCTCTTCTCTGAACTTCCTCCAATTTGTCTACATCTTGTATGGAGGTGTCCAGAAGTGAATCCAATATTCCACCTGAAGTATCACCAGATTCAAAAAGAGAGACACTATCACTTCTCTGCTCTGACATTATCCCTCTGCATATACAGCCCCAAATTGCCTTGGCCTTTTATACTGACACATCTCATTGCAAAGTCATATTCAATTTGTTGTTCACTGTCACCTCTAGGTCTCTTTTGCTTCTTCCCAGGTTTCTCCTTCTCTATGAATATCTGTGTTGCTGATTATTTTTCTTCAGTGTATTAGTTTTCATTTTTCCAGGTTGAATCTCACCTTTTATTTCCTGCCTACATTTTTAATCTCGTTAGTTCTCTTTGTATTATTGCTGTCCACTCTGATATTCTCAGTCCCCATCCCCCTGATTGTCATGTACGAATTTCATTAATGTTCTGTTTACCTCCTCTTCCAGATTATTAATCAAGATATTAAGTAAGATCAAACCTAAAACATATCCCTGCAGCAACCCAGCCCAATATATCACCCGCCACCAGGGCTTTACCCATTGCATAAAGTCCTTCAACCAGTTTTCAGTCCATGTGACAGGGCTCATACCAAGTCAATTTAAATTAGATTTTTTGTGAGAGGCTCCTTTAAAATTTCAAAGAGTTTTATGGAATTTAGCCACACAATTTGCCATTCCTTTTTCTTCTCAGGGACATCCTGCTCCTCCCAGTTTCCATATATGGCAATAGGGTATGAGGGAGCGAAGTGAGGAGAGATTTGTTTATCCTTGGCTGATTGACAGGAGAGATAGAATGGGATGTGCAGTTCAAAGATGGTCTTTAGTCTTTATTTTTATTGTTAAAGGTTTCATTATCTTATCCATTTTAAAGTCATCATTAATTTCCTTTCCTACTGCCTCATTGATTAATGGGCCTACTTTTTCTGATGCTGCTTTTTCCATTCATATATTTGTAAAAGCCCCTCATATTTCCCTTACCCACTTTGGCTACTATTAGCTCCTTCTGCTTTTTTATCCCCCTTTCTCTTTTCCCTGCAAGGTTCAATAGGCTGTGTTTTCTTATTTGATACCCCTGCCCTTTCTCTGTTTCCAACAGGAGGATTTTTTTAATCTTGAATTTTTTTAGCAGAATTTCATGATGCTGAATTGGCTTTTTTTGATTCCTTGTATTTTATTTTTTTTAAGAAGAAAATCAGATTAAGAATGGGTGTTCTCCAGACTTCCTTCAAATTCATCAACTTTTTTCTTACCTGTTCCACCGAACCTTTTTCATTATAATGAGATTTGGATCAGGTCTAGAGGAATCAATCTCCCATAGGTGATCTTGTGGGATCTGTGTAGGCCTCTACTCTGCCATCTGGTTCCACTGGCTCCTGCCAGCACTTTGACACATCATGGCTTCTGTAGGGCCAATGCTTCAAGTAGGTTCCCCTACTGTGGGTAGGAGAAGGATATAGCCACAGCATTCTCATAAAACACCCTCGACCCCTGTTCTGTGGTGCGAGTACTACCCCATAGGAGAAGTCATTTGCTCCAATATAGGTTCTGAAATCAGACCAAAGTGTAACCATAGAAGGAAATGGCATAGGAGAAACTAGTGTGAATTTAGCACAAGTTTATAGTTGTGACAGATTCTAGCAAGCACCCCTTCCTGGCCTCTCACTAGGATTGCTGTGAGGGGAATCCATGCCTCTGTGCTCTGGATTCCCTGAGTTGTGTTAAACTTTTGGAGCCTGCATTGAGTTCAGACACTGATCCAATCTTGGGTCCCTAGGCAAACTCTCAGGGTGCAGATCTTCTGTCTGGCACCCCCTCCGTGTGTTGGAACCCATTGTCCAGCTGCCTACCCTCTCTGGGCACAGCACTGACCATCAAACTCCCCAGTACTTAAGCAGAACCCTCTCCCAAAAGGTGTAAGCGTCTGGTTACAGTTTAGTTCTCTTAGGGGCACGCAGCCAGTTGTGAAGCAGTTAACACACACACACACTTTGCACTGTGTGACACCTTTATGCTCTTTTATACTTAAGCCTATAAAGTACAGGAGAGTACAGATCATAAACACTAAATGAATGTCCCTTCCTTGGTCTCTTCAGCTTTCCAAAGCATTCTTTGGGTGGGGGTCTGAGTTCCTTGGGTTGTCCAGAGTCCTTTGAGCCATCTGTGCTCAGGAAAGCAGGCAGGGACCCTCTGCCCCATGAGCCTGCTACATGCTGGGTGACCTTTCCCTCCTGAATCCTTTTACCCAGTTTCTGTGACCTTGCTCTCTCTTACCCCATGCTTCTTCTTCCGGTCTGGTTCCCCGGTTCCTGTATGTTTCATTATTTAAACCTCTCCTGGTCACCTGGTCTCTCTTGTTCGACACCTGTTAAGTTTCTGTTGTTCCTACCCTTCCCCTTTCCTTCAGGGGATAAAGCTAAAACTGGATTTCCAAGGCCTGAGCTGCTTTTTAGTGTATTCTTTGTGAGGCCTAAGTACTGTTTTTAACCGTAAGTATTTCCCATTGTCCCTGTCTGGTATATCTCTACTACAGAACTTATCAGCAATGGTGGATCCACATACATATTGGCGCTCATGATTCAGCACTTTTCCCTAATGCAACTTCATAATAGCAAGCAGAAATCTAAGTTGTACAGACATAGTCCCAATTCATCACAATAGTCATCAAAACTCATTTGATGGTTAGGTGGCCCATATAAAATGGGTCAAGTCTGGAATGCTTTTGTTGGTCCCAATGTTGATCTTGGCAACAAAAGTATTGAAAAATAGCGCTGCACATTGTGCTGTCATTTGAGTGACTCAGGGTCTGATCTTTCCATTAACTTGAATGGACTTTGGATCAGGCCCCCAGTGCATTAACCCTTGCCTTCAGAGGCTTTGCAGAAAAGGAATTTTCTCCATGTTCTCAAAACTGCTACAAAGCTAAGCTACTCCTAGCCTAGTCTCTCTACACTTATTTGTTCCCAGTGCTTTTTCTCAACCTTCCCTTCCTTCTGCAGACAGGCACTTCCCTCACAGCACCCTTTCACCCCACATTGGTTAGTCAAGCAGTGCTACTTCTCCATCATTACAGCTCATTGCCATTTTTCAGAATTCATAATTTTCATTCACATGTTGAGGCTGGGCGAGAGGGGGAAAGGAGAAACATTTCATGAACTGTTCTCC